CCTGATGGTAGACCTGCTCCCCAGCCCCTGCTACCTGATTGCCCGCTCTACCTCCTGCAGCCCTTCTGCTTCTGGTCACTGGAAAGGCAGAGCCCACACTGAGGCATGTACAGAGCATCCAGGGCCAGGCAAAGCAATTGCATGACTGAAGGGATGCCGGGGATGTCCTGTTTGATAAAACATCCGCTTCACTAAAAAACATCGTCACCGATGTTTTAGCAAACAGGACATCCCCGGCATCCCTTTAGACGGGCTTGTTCCATGCCCGTCTCTGAATGATTTAAAGCCCGGGGCACGTGCCCCCCTCTGCTCCCCCTCGCTATGCCACAGCTAGGACACTCTGGGGGGGTTGAACCCCTATACCCCCCCTTGGCTACGCCCCTGAAAGTGACAGCTGTACAGATTCTTCTCCCCTTGCCTGGTCTGTGGCTGCAGCGGCTGAGGAGGAGGAGAAGAATGTGTACAGCTGTCACTACTGTATGCCGGCTCCACTGATCGAGAGCGGCGATCACTCTTCTCAGCTCTTTCCTCTCAATGAGAAGAGTGATCGCCGCTGCAGCGGCCATCTTCAAAGGGCATCGTCTCACTCCCCCTGCTGGTGTCCCTCCCTACAGACTGGAAGACGTTGGGGACCGGACCTCAGTGGGCCCCTCAACTGCCTTGGGCCCCCGCACTGGCTGCACCGCCGGTAGTTCCGCCCCTGATGCCATAGACCTTTGTACAACATGACAACATCTTTCTGAAGTCCCCTAAGCCCTTTGCATGCTGCCAATACACTGGTTGACCTGTGCTTACAGCCTTCATATTTAGGAGGACTACACATCTTATTTAAGATTCTTCCACGGACCTATATACGTAAGGTTATCATTGGGTTCTCTCATTAGAAACCCACTCCATTTAAATGATTTTACTATATAATACCAAGAAAAGGTTGATAATGTTGTGCTTCCTCATAAGCCCACAGCAGACACATTACCAGTGAAATAGCTTACAAACGTTCTGCTAAACCGAAAGTAACACTTTTCAGTCTCAGGCTAAATAATTATTTATGATTGTGCAGACATCTGAAATCTTTGTCAAGCTGTTTTGTGCAACAAGCATACCCCAAAATGTGTCTAGAACACCATACACACATACAACAGGGAGATATTCCACATGCAATCATCAACACAAGAAGAGTGGCAGTGCTATTTCAAGGGGCAAAAATAGTAATTCCACCATTCTACTCAATCCGGAAATAGCCACACATCAAGGGACTTCACTGAAGATAAAAATCTTTATTTATGGAGCAAATACATATGGGGTCTATACACAAAAGGGTAAAGAGTTTGGAGAAGGCACGAGAACTGAACAATCTAGGACAGCATAGTTGAACTGGAAAGTGAGCTGAATTGGAGAATTTTTCCAAATCGGCTATTTTGGCCTAAATTGTTCTCTTCTCTGTCTTCTCCAAACTCTTCACCCTTTTGTGAATAGACCTGATAATGTTTGTTCTCCCCATGTGTGCTCATCCTGTAGCAGACATCCCAACTCTCCCGGACACTCCGGGAGTCTCCCGCTATTAGATAGCGGCTCCCGGCCGCCCGGGAGAGAAACACTTCCTCCCGGAAAGGGTTATCTTCTCGATCGAGCAGATAAACCTTTACCTGCGATCGTTTTTTTTTTTCTTTTCTGACATCAGGAGCCGTAGCCCGACCGTCAGTCAGAAAAAAAAGGCATATGAATGCACAGCTAGATTCCTATTGGCTATTGCACTTTGATTGAAAGCAGCAGAAGGCGGGTGCAATAGCTAGTTTGTTATTGGCTATTGCAAGGTGCAATAGCCAATAGGAATCTAGCTGTGCATTCTTATGCCTTTTTTTTAAATTATTCTGACGACTGCAACTGTCAGAATACTAAAAGAAAATAAAAAAAAAGCCTGCAGATAGCAAAGAAGCTATTGCTTCCTGTGCTATATGCCATCATTTCAGGGGGGTGCTCTCTCCCAGCCCCTCCTAACCCTCCCTCTGCGGATGGGGGGGGAGAGGGCACCTCCCTGAAATGAGAGGTACACCTCCCTGAAATTGCTTCTTTCAGGTTGGGATCCCTGCTGTAGCGTGTTTCACCATTCCACATTACTCATAGAGATGAGTACCATTCTGCTACCACACTCTCCATGATTAATAAGTAATACAGTAAAGTGTTTGTGTGTTTTGAATGTGTGACCTCTTTGTTCTGTGTATGCTATGTCTTATTTTATTACCAGGAGAAGAAGAGTCCATCACAGTAACTGTCATGTGACTGAGCTCTGTCACAGAGTGTTCTCTGTGGCATTATGCAGAGAACACTTCCAAAGACACTCCAAGTATAACTGAAGGCAAAACATTTTTATTCAAGGTTTAGGGTGGTGAGGGATTAGAACCGCTGTCAGGTTTTTTTGGCTGCCCTTGATTCATTCTCTCTAATTGTTCTGATCACCAATGTCACCAGGAATGAAAGTGAGCGTAAATCCAACGTATTGAATTGCCACCAGAACAGGAATGGAGTTCCCTTCTAATGGGGACACTTGGGGGTCTATTCACTAAGCTGCCGAAGGATCTAGCCATAGCTTCGGCCGATCCTACGGCTAGCTTCGGTTATGGGAGTCCATCGGTTAATTAGAACCGAGAGCCTGCTGTACGGGCTATTCACAATAGCCGAACGCATATGCATCGGCTCGGCTGAGCCGTGCTGAAAGCCGAAGATGGCCGA